GCAAGGATTCCTTGGACCTATCTGCCCATTCATTCTACCTTACTGACCACCATTTGAGCCCCTTCTATGTCCAGCATCTGAAGGAGATTTAGAGAATAAACGTGAGGCCTACAGTACAGAAGACCTTGCATCCAAGACAGAATTACCATAGTCACCCTGATATATAATGACTCATGATTACTGCACACAATACTGTAGAATTGCTCTTTTCTTCTGTAGCATGTAATAGAGATTATTCACTACTGCTGGGTACCACCAAAACAGAGATCCTCTAAGCTTGTTCATGAACCAGTTCAATGTAGTGCACAGTGTCAGACCTTCTGTAGCATGTAATAGAGATTATTCACCAGAGATCCTCTAAACTTGTTCATGAACCAGTTCAATATAGTGCACAGTGTCAGACTAGAGCTCAGGATACCTGGGTTCAACTCCTTGCTTGGCTATGGACACTGATTGGCATTTGGCAATGATAGAACATTCCTTAAATATCTCCCTGTCCATAATATCAGAGGGTAGAATCTAGATTTTGTTTCATTATCAGATTACCAGGCGTTCTGATTGTTTTCAACTGTTTTGAAGAATATAATGAAAAGTGTCCAGAGAAGGCTATAATATTCTTCTAGTTAGCCTTCAAAAACACCTCAGAAGATCCCTGGGCTTTGACAACATGGTTAATATTGGATTACATGCACTGCTTTGCACAGGACAACAGAGAAATAGTTAGCATCATATATGCTTTGGAGAGAAGGTAGCATCTCCCTCAGGCAGCTCTCCTCCCTTCCAAATTCTGAGTGGGACTCTTCTGTATTCTAAGAGCATTAATCAGACCTACTGATTAAAACAGTGGTTTAAAACAGTTTTTCCCAACCTTGGGTTCCCAGATGTTCTTGGATTACAACTCCCAGAAATCCTGGGCAGGACAGCTAGTGGTGAAGGATTCCGGAAGTTTTAGTCCAAGAACATCTGGGGACCTAAGATTGGGAACCATTGCTTTAAAAGAAGCCAACTCCAGAAGTAACAGCACCAGATCAAGATTTGAGCAGAGCTGGAAGTATTTATCCTCCCTCCTCCCCAAAAACTTCCAAGCTTACCACTTCCCAGCATCCTCAGAAGCGGTAAGGGAATAGCCTAGGACAATATCAGAAAAATGGGAATTAATAAGCAAAACAATATGAGTGGTATCTCATGCCAGCTAGATGCTCCATCGTGAGGGCCCCTCTGGAAGTTAATGAAAGCACTCACAGGTCTGCCACCATCTTCACATGCTTTTCCATGCTGCATAGACTACAATCAGCAGCAGCAACCAAACAAGGTATCCAAGTAGTTGGTATCCAAGTAGGAACTTTTTATTTATTTCATTTAAAATATTTATATGCCACCACCTTGTCTCCTCTCTTTCCTCTCTCTCCCCAGTCAACAAAAATGTCTGTCACATCCTTGACTGGAGACACACTAGGGAATCAAATACCCAACCTCTGACTCTGCAGTCAGATACTTGCTCACTGAGCTTGTACTTGAGAAATAGAAACAGACCCTACTTTCAATTTACTGTAAATGAAAACCCCAAAAACTAAAATGGAGAAGGTTCTCCAGATTTTGCTACATCTGTCTTCTATTGAAGGAGTTAACACTTTGCTGCCTGCTTGCCTGAAGACTACTGATCAATAATACATTAACTAACAGTTATTGACAGCAAATCTTAACAATGGACCATGTACAAACCAGACAAGTAGCCATATCACAGACACTTAAATCCAACCACATAAATATTACTCTACTTTTGGAGCAGCAAAAAACTTCAGTGCTGGCATAGTGAGGATCCCAGATTCTGTTAAGAAGTTTTCTTTATTGATAAATAAAATATCAAAGGGATATTCAGAGTGAATCCTTTGTATCAGCAAAACTAGAGCAAGCCACAAGAAAAAGTAGGAATGGCAAAGTGGTGGGACTCAGTGATACCAAAATCAAGCAAATTAAACATTTTGGGCAAAGCACAAAGGGACAGCTCCTTTTACTCTTTAATGACTGCTAGACAAGCACAAACATTCCAAAAATATGGCAGAAGATGAAAGTAATCACTATACTGAAACTAGGCAAAGAACTATCAGACCCCAAAAGTTCCTGGTCAATCTCCCTACTGTGCCACTTAGACAAAATGTTTGAACGAATGATATTAAAATATCTAGCTCTGAAAATTGAATCTCTTCTTATACCAGAACAGGCAACAGCTATATGGTTCAAATTTAAATCTAATTCAACATATAGAAGATGTTTTTGAAACACATAAAATAACCGGAGCAGCATTTGTTGACATTACAGTGGCATATGATACTGTCCGCCATCAACTGCTGTTCAAAAAGCTCTTCTTCTTTATTAAACATCATGGATTAACAGAAACAGTAACTACTGTACTTAAAAACTAAAGAGTCTGTGTTGAACTTCAAAGAAGGCACAAATGCTAGAAAAATCAAGGGGACAGCCTCTCACAAGGAGTGCCCTGGTACCATTACTTTTCAACATTTATTCAAATGATCAACCAACATTCCCTTACCTCAGGAGTTTCATCTATGCTAATGACCTTGCCTTGACAGTCAAGCACCAACTAACCTCTGTATTTGATGCTAATGACCTTGCCTTGACAGTCCAGGTGTGGCCATCAAGCACCAAATAACCTCTGTATTTTATGTTTTCTTATATTATAAAAACAACTAGCTGAAACCAAACCCTCCAAGAACACAGGTCTCTGTCTTCTACTAAAAGAATAGAGAAGTAGAGAGACTGCTCTGAGTTATCTGAGAAGGCAAGATTTTTGAACATTGCCCTACCCCAAAGGAATTGGGAATCACTCTGGATTAAACCTTGACCTACAAAAACATTGTCTAAACACTAAACAGAAAGCTGCTATAAAAATAACATACATAGGAAACTAGCTGGGTCAGACTTGGGTGCACACCCACAAACAATAAGAATAGTTTTATCCCTGTGGTATTCCATAGCAGAATATGCTACTGTCATATGGTATAATCAGCACATGACAAGCAAGTGGATGTAGCCCTTAATGAATCATGCAAAATTGTTATTAGCTGCCTGAAATCTACTTCATTGAAAGTTTATGATTTGGCTGGCACTGTCCCTTCAGAAGTACACCGAGAGGTACTAGGTACTTAGATACAGGACAAATTTTCTGTGACTGTGGAGAAATTCAATCAACCCAGCACTTATGTGCGTGCAATTTATGTACAAAATGACCAAGATAATGGCGATCAAATAGTCCACTTCTGATCAAAATTGGTCTAATTATCCTAACAGTTTAATTTGTTTTTATTGTTACCTATATTTCACATAATTTTAAAATGTACATTACTCTGATATGAAGGAAGGAAGGAAGGAAGGAGGAAGGAAGGAAGGAAGGAAGGTAGTTTAGAGTGATGGATTCTAGAGACCAGGGTTCAAATCCTCACTGACAAAGGAAACTTACTGGGGGAGCTGAACTGGTAAAATTACTCTTTAAATGTCTCACTAACCTTGAAGGGCCCAACAGTTCCAACTTGATGGCACATAACAAGGTAGATTCTGGTTATTTTTTTACATTGATGTTCTTATTACGTACTGTTGAGTCACCTCCAACTTATGTCAACCCTACCGACTGAGCAATATCCAAAATGTTCTGTCCTCCACAGCCCTGCTCAGCTCCTGCAAACTCAAGCCTGTGGCTTCCTTTATGAAGTCAACCCATCTCATGTTTTCCTGCTGCCCTCAACTCTTCCTATCATTATTGTCTTTTTCAGATAATCTTGCCTTCTCATGATATGTCCAAAGTATGAAAGCCTGAGTTTCATCATTTTTACTTGCAGAAATAGTTCACGCTTGATTTGCGCTAGGGCTCACTTATTTGTCTTTCTAGTGGTCCAGGGTATCTGCAAGGCTTTCCTCCAGCACCACATTTCAAATGAAACAGTTTTTTTTGTTTTTTGTTGTTGTTGTTTTTTCTGTCAGCCTTCTTCGCTATCCATATCTATAAATGACATCACTTAAAAGAAGAGTTAAAGAATGCAGAAAATAATACTAAATATTAAACTACAGTCTTCCAATTCCTCTCAGAGATTTTACAGCACATGCATTGGTCACTCCTTCCCACCACAAATGTACTCAACTTTGTGGGCATTTGTGAATTATGCCATCTTTAATATGCAAACATTCTTGAAATTAGAGCTAAATACCTCTGTGGGCTCCCCCTAAATCTCCCAGCCCAAGAGGAAATAAGCATTTCAAATAATAGATGTTCAAGGAATGTTTCCTGGCCTACACAGGATAGAAGAAACTGATAAGCTGTGTTGCAACCTTCACTTGCTTACCTATGCAGTATGTAGGCCCTGTGCTTCCTATTTGCAGGGGGGCAAGCAGCAATTCAACTGAGGATGAAAACTTTGGGTCTATATGGAATTGGCAATTGTTTGCTTCTTACATACTAAATGCATTTATAACCCACCTTCTCTCCAGTGAATTCACAGTTGCACATGTGGCTATTTCTCCTGCCTCTCAACAACACTGTGAGATAGGTTAGGCAGAGAGTGGGTGGCAAAAAGTTGTCCAGAGAAAAGTTGACTCACTGGGGATGTAAGTCCTAATCAAGCCACAAATTTTTCCCACAGTCTAACCAAATACTCAGTGCAACATAAAATTAGCCACTTTCACTGTTTCTAATGGCAGAACTTGTACAATGCAACACAGTGTATATATGTTTCCACTGACAAGAGAAGGGGTTTATAATATGAATGGAATCTTTTACACCTTTGAATCCTCAAACTACTGTAACTGAGCAAGACAGAACTCTGGCTAATTACAAAACCTAGGCCTGTGCCAGCCTGATGACTTTACATTTTCTTTCTGACTCCTGTGTCACCATTTCTATTTAGAGAAGGCTGACATTATAATACTGTACACGAATTGGTTAAGAGGCTATGCCAAGTGACCGAGAGAGAAGATTTCTTGAAAGATACCCTGATTCATGCAGAGCTACAGGAAAAAATGCCTTCCATTCTGCCTTTGCTGCCAGACAGTCCTATAATATAATAAGAAAAGTTAGCAGTTATATTTGGGAGTTTGGGTATTATCTTAACTTAGTAAATATATCAGCCCTAAGATATAAAGTTAGATCACTCTTCAAATTGTATAACAGCTGTAGTGTTAATCTGATATCCCTCCTGCAACCCCTTTGAAAACTCTTTCAAACACAACCTTTCAAACACTCTCATATCCAGTAGGTTGTTGTTGTTTAGTCATTCAGTCATGGCTGACTCTTTGTGACCCCATGGACCAGAGCACGCCAGGCCCTCCTGTCTTCCACTGCTTCCCGGAGTTGGGTCAGATTCATGCTGGTAGTTTCAATGACACTGTCCAACCATCTCATCCTCTGTCGTCTCCTTCTCCTCCTGCCTTCACACTTTCCCAACATCAGGGTCTTTTCCAGTAGGTACCCATCAATTAATCTCAACAGTCTTCCTTCCTCCACCTAATGGATTACTATAGGTTCCTGAAGGTCCTTTTTCACTATGTCCCAGCCCACTGTGTGTGTGTTTAGTCGTTTAGTCATGTCCGGCTTGGGTTTCTTCCAGTCCAGCCTTCCGCATGATGTACTCTGCATATAAGTTAAATAAGCTGGGGGACAATATACAGCCTTGCCGTACTCCTTTCCCAATTTTGAACCACTCAGTTGTTCCATGACCAGTTCTAACTGTTGCTTCCTGTCCCACATATAGGTTTCTCAGGAGACAGATAAAGTGGTCAGGCACTCCCATTTCTTTAAGAACTTGCCATAGTTTGTTGTGGTCCACACAGTCAAAGGCTTTTGCATAGTCAATGAAACAGAAGTAGATATTTTTCTGGAACTCTCTGGCTTTCTCCATAATCCAGCGCAAGTTAGCAATTTGGTCTCGAGTTCCTCTGCCTCTTCGGAATCCAGCTTGTACTTCTGGGAGTTCTCGGTCCACATACTGCTGAAGCCTACCTTGTAGGATTTTGAGCATAACCTTGCTAGCGTGCGAAATGAGTGCAATTGTACGGTAGTTGGAGCATTCTTTGGCACAGCCTTACTTTGGGATTGGGATGTAGACTAATCTTTTCCAATCCTCTGGCCACTGTTGAGTTTTCCAAACTTGCTGGCATATTGAATGTAGCACCTTAACAGCATCATCTTTCAAGATTTTAAATAGTTCAACTGGAATGCCATCACCTCCACTGGCCTTGTTGTTAGCCAGGCTTTCTAAGGCCCACTTGACTTCGCTCTCCAGGATGTCTGGCTCAAGGTCAGCAACTACATTGTCTGGGTTGTCCAGGATATCCAAATCTTTCTGATATAATTCCTCTGTGTATTCTTGCCACCTCGTCTTGACGTCTTCTGCTTCTGTTAGGTCCCTCCCATTTTTGTCTTTTATCATGTTCATCTTTGCGCAAAATGTTCCTCTAATATGTCCAATTTTCCTGAACAGATCTCTGGTCTTTCCTTTTCTGTTATCTTCCTCTATTTCTTTGCATTGTTCATTTAAGAAGGCCCTCTTGTCTCTCCTTGCTATTCTTTGGAAGTCTGAATTCAAGTTTCTGTAACTTTCCCTATCTCCCTTGCATTTTGCTTCCCTTCTCCTCTCTGCTATTTCTTTCAATGACACTGTCCAACCATCTCATCCTCTGTCGTCTCCTTCTCCTCCTGCCTTCACACTTTCCCAACATCAGGGTCTTTTCCAGTAGGTACCCATCAATTAATCTCAACAGTCTTCCTTCCTCCACCTAATGGATTACTATAGGTTCCTGAAGGTTTCATTTCACTATGTCCCAGCCCACTGTACACTGCTGTAATCCAAGCAGAAGACTTGCAACCTTCAAGAATAACTATAGGCCACTATTAACTTTGTCAGCAAACAACATAAAAATGAAATTAAAAAAAACAGTCATACCCCCATTCACTTTTAATGGTGCTGTGGTGGCCAATTGTCACCACAAACTCTCTAAAGAAAGTCCAGTCATTCCTAAATTCCTAATTCCTTTCACTTCAGTCATCGTTCCCTCTAAGTAAGCCATTTTCAGCTTTCCTTCAGAGTGCTGCGAAGCCTTCTCCTTTTCCTCAGAAGAACCATCATCCGGCCACTAAAACCATTACATTTACACCTCCAGTTCAGACTTGAAAGTAGTCCCTTGTTTAGAACAACAACAACAACTGATCCTCTTTCCAAAGAGAACACAGTGGAAGAGAAAGCATCGCCCTTTCGAGCACCCTAAAGACACCAATACGGGCACGTATGACTTGGCCACCCTTCTTTCTTCCGGACCCCGCGGGAACCTCAGCTCACAAAAACTGGTCCTCCCCAGGGACCTAAGCTCCCCTATACCGACATCGTAGAGTTGCCGGGGGGAACCGGGTGGCTCACATACTCTCGCCGGATCTTCTCTCTCCTTAATTCCACCCCATCAGCCTTCCATCACAATCATCAGCAGCGGCAAATGCTTACTCCCGACCGCCCTCGCCCCCCCGCGGTTTTCCTCCTCCCTCCCTTCTCACCATGAACTTGAGAGCCTTCTCCTGCACCACCGCTTCGGTGGGGTCCATAGCCCCCCCAATCCGCCTCTCCTGTGGCTCCTGTTCCCCCGCCAGTTCCGGGCTTCAAGCCAGGGTCGAGGCCTAGGCCACCCACCCACCCCGTCTCAACTCTTTCGTTCTCCCTCAATGGAAGGCCGCAACCAGCACAGAGGCAAACAGGAAACCCCCGTTCTCCTCCTGCTCAGGTAAATGGGAAATGTAGTCCTACGCCCCTCTCTCAACAAGGCGCCAAGGAGGCACGGTGGACTACAATTCCCGGTAAACCTTGCGAACGGAGAGCCGCTACCCTGTGTCACTGCTGACGGAAGTAGACGTATGTTAGAAAGGGCTGGGTTTGGCTGTATTAAGAGGAGGCGGGGAGTAGAGTCTCGAAATGACCGATGGGAGTTGTCGTTTCCTAGATCCGCTCTGGCCAACAATTGCTTTGGAGAGCCGTTGCATTTCTTGCTGTGAGTCTAGATTTTGTGAGAACGCAGAAGTTTTGGCTTGTAGCCCAGTATCCCAGAGACCAGTGCCGGGTATTCAGACGGTGCAATGATCTTCGACACGGAGGACTTCAGATTCCCGCGTCAGGCGCATATGTACAAAGCCATAATGCAACCGTTGTAGCTTTTCAAAGAAAGGATGAGTTAAACTTTTGATTGACGACATTACATCCCACCAAGCCTGGATAGCCGCCTGACGCCAGTGGATAGAGTTGCTCCTTCCCTCAGGCTGTGAGAGTGGCAATTGTGCGCACACTGATGTCAGTGAAAATGTTGGCAATCACAAAAGTCAACTAATAATTACCATGGATAGTTACCACAGAGAAACAGCTGGGAGGTGGGAGCCCTTCCCACCCTGTGGTAGTCTTCTTGCTAGTAGCACCAGAAATGTAAGACAAGGCAAATCTATCTAGTATTTTGTTCCTGCAGTGGTTAAGTGGATGTCAGAAGCAGGAGTGCTGACCATACTAGCACCTTCTTTCTCATATTCCCTGCAGGTGGTATTAAGAAGCAAAATAGCTTTAATACTGAGAGTAGCCTTCATGAGCAGGAGCCATTGTTAGTCTTGACCTCCATCAAGAGACAGTGCTAATACTTCCCCCCTTCTCAACCTTCTGAAGCAGAGGAGTGGCAAGGCAGCCACTTCTGCTTATTCACCTCCCGTCTTCCTCTGAAGAGTAGTGGGGATTGAGCCCAGCCACACCATTCAGAGAACCCAAGCAAGCAGTAGCAACAAAGAGCAGGAGTACAATTCCATGCATATTTATCAGAAGCAGGGCCCATTCAATTCAGTGGGGCTTCCTGGTGAAACGAAGTTCATAATATTAATTCTCCGAACATTAGAATTGGTGCCTTTGAAACAGATTCAGCATGTCTTGAGGTGCTCTCTGTATAGGAATGGCATAAATTGGTTTGTTTTTTGTCATGTTGCCTGTAAAGTAAGACCTTCATTTTAAAAAGTATTTATTACATATATAGTATATACAGGTTTTGAGTTTGACTGTGCGAAGAACAGCCGGAAGCAACTGGGATTCTGCCCTGCTACTCTGTGGTTCTGGGTTCCACCCCAGATATAAGAATGTTTTGTTGTACAGATTGTAGAAAGCGTGGAATATTCCTGTAGCAATTAGGTTCTTTTATTAGTATCAATAGTGCCATCAGAATATTGGATTTTATATGAGTTTTTAAATTATGATATTATTATTGCTCATTTTGCACTATCAGTTGGCAGAACAGGATAGACTATAAAAAACAAACAAAAAATCCCGCCCTGGCCCCAAGGTGATTACATTGTTAAATTTCAGTAGCTGGGGACAAGACAGGCGAGAGGAAGAAAGGGGTACTATTTAAACCAAATAATATAGAGAAAGTAGGAATGACAAAAGCAAGAGAACAAGACAGGATTGTAAACAGACTGAGAAAAGGCCTTCCTGCAGAGGAAGGTCTTTACCTGCTTACAGAAGGACACCAAAGAGGGGACCACTCCAGCCTACCATTGGAGGGAGTTCCACAGCTGGGAGCATTGAAAGAGAAGACCCTTTCCTGTGTCCTCACCAAATGCACTTGTGAGGGAGACAGGGCAGACAGAAAGGTCTCCATTGATTATTCTGAAACCAAGGCAGACTCATAAAGGCAGATGCAGTCTTTCAAGTAGCTTGGACCCAGTGATAAAATATGTGGACTCACCTCCCTCTATTACCATTTCTACACAAGAATTGGAGGTTGTTCATGACTTTGCACCTTGGCTCAACTATCTATGACATTCTTGTCTGTCCCTAGATGTCAAGATGGATAAACGCACTGACAAAGCAGCTACCATGTCCTTTAGAATCACAAAGAGAGTATGGATTAATAAGAAGCTGACAGCACATACCAAGATCCAGGTCTATAGAGCCTGTGTCCTAAGCACACTCCTGTACTGCAGTGAGTCCTGGACCCTTTGTGCACTATAGGAGAGGAAACTGACCACGTTCCATATGCGTTACCTCCGATGCATTGTTAGTATCCCCTGGCAGGACAAAGTTCCAAACTGAGTAGTCCTAGAATGAGCTGGAATTTTAGCATGTATGCATTACTTAAACAGCAATGTCTACGATGGCTTGGGCACGTCGTGAGAATAGCTGATGGTCAGATTCCAAAAGTTCTCCTGTATGGAGAATTAGTGCAGGGAAAGTGCCCCAGAGGGAGACCACAGCTGTGATACAAGGATATCTGCAAGTGGGATCTGAAGGCCTTAGGAATAGACCTCAGCAGATGGGAAACTTTGACATCTGAGCATTCAGCCTGGAGGCAGGCGGTGCAGCATGGCCTCTCCCAATTTGAAGAGACACTTGTTCAGCAGGCCGAGGCAAAGAGGCAGTCCTGGAACCAGCAAAATCAAGGAGCTGAACTGGGGACAGATTGTATTTGTCTTCAGTGTGGAAGGGATTGTCACCTTCGAACTGGCCCTTTCAGCCACACTAGATGCTGTTCCAAGACCTCTATTCAGAGCTTATTATCATAGTCTCTCGAGACTGAAGGATGCCTATAATGCTAGGGAAAACTCAGTGACAAGTAAACTGCTCTTTTAGCTGAATTTATCTACCATTACTGTTCTCAGTGAGGAATTTCTTACAAGCTTCCAAAGAATTCTAGGATTTTGAAATTCAATCTGATAAGTATTGGGCTATAGTATTGTATATTCTCTTATTTTAGTCATGTATTTTTTATTCTTCTTTCAATGCGTCACTTACTTGTTATGTGTGTTTTATGTGAGTGTGCACAGAGGACTTTGAGCAGTGGAAACCTTTCTAGATGTCTCATTATAAAAGAATGATTAATTTATCAGATTCATTTTTCAACCACCCTGCAATGCAGAAGGAGGCTGTGTTTTAGTACTGAAATAAAAGGTGACCCTTGGACATCTACAGTTTTCCCAGGAGAAATCCACATAATGTCATCATCTTGATATTACTCAATATCTTCAAGATTTTATCAACCATTGGTATCCCTGTGGCATGTTCAATACTAGTAGATGGTGGTTAGGATTCAACAAAGAACAGTTGCTACTTGATTTTAATGAAGGCTTTCTAGTCAGTGAATAGTTCCTTGATTAAACAGTCTACCTCATATATTTTTGTATCTCATTCTCCATTCTATTTTTGCACCACTGATTTCAGTAACTGTTTCAGGAATCCTGGAAACACTGAGATACTTCCATCATATCAGCTCCTTTAGGGATTATTGCCTGGATTATAATATTTTAAATAATAAGGGAGGGGAGAGAGATTCCAAATTAAATTTGCAGACCTGCCATCTGTATGCATTCAGACTTATTACAGGCAGCTTCTTCCAGCCCCTGTCAAGGAGACACAATGGGGAATCAAACTTCCAGCGTCTGGCTCTGCAGTCAGATACCTAAGTAACTTAAAGCAAGGTAGGATGTCAGGAGGTGACCCAATTTTATCATAGATTCTTGGACATGTTCTACTTTGTACTTTACTTTTTTGTACTTTACTTTTTGTAAAGGTCTTGCTCTTATAATCCTGTGTGTTTTTCATGTGTTTCATTTACAAAATCATATTCAATATCTACATGTCCTAGAATCCTTTGAAAAAGTGTGGGCAAGAAACAGAGAGGCTAAGCAATTTGAGTTGTAAGCCCTAGAAAATCCTAAATTCAAATGTCACATCTGTCTGTCATGAACTCAGGAGATGGCTGTAGGCATACAACTCTCTGTTAAACTCCCCCTTCCCCACCAGAAGTAATAATACCTGCATTGCAAGATTTTCAGAGATTACTAAAATAATGTTTTAATGTATGCCTTAGGAGCAGGGTCAAATAATGGGTGTGAAGTTGAAAGGGATACTGAACAGAAGTTGATGACTTCATTTTTATTGAATGTACTATCTGCAGGTTGTTATGATTATTTATTTAAATCTGCAACAAAAAATACCAAATCCTAAACAACCAGGAACCAATACCATAGTGTGGATGAAGCCCTTTGTCTTTTTATACACTTATCACTTTTTATAAAATCTAGGCTTCATTGTTCCTGAAAAGCAACAGTCCCCCTGAGTCAGGGCCATTCTCACCCACAATATGTCTGACAAAGAATGCAAAGTCAAACCCAGCACTTTTTTCAAGAGGGAAGGGCTTAGTGCACCGTACAATTAGGCAGTGGAAGCAGCCATGTCTCCCCCAAGGATTCTTTATTATGAGATACACTTTTCTCCATCCAGTGCTACTCTTTCTTTGTTTTACATTGTTCATTAATGATAATGAGCAGCACTGCATAAATATTTCCATTGCATTGTAGAACTGGTATCCTGTAGGAACAGTAAATGTGAAGAACAGAGGTGACCTTAGGTGTCAAGTCTGGCCCACCCAACACACACATTTTGATCAAATTTAAAAAAACAACAACAATGTAGTTAATATACAGAAAAAATGAATTGGAGCAGATGCAACAGGATACAGGAAGGAGTAAAATGCTTTCCTTTATTTTAAAATGAAGGAGTGTGGGGGAAATGCCAGCTCACTCCAACAGCACAAAAACAACCCCAACAGTCCCTTAGAGCCAGAAGAGGCTTTTTAAAGCCTCATGAATATTTAGCTTGTCCTCATGTAAAATATATGACTTTGTGTAAGGATCAAGCAAAGGAGGTGCATGATTTTTTTCTGATTTATGGGCCCAGTGACGGATTATTCATAGCAGAGCAGCTGTGTGGAAAGATTCATCCACTGCAAAATGTGATTGTACATCAGGCAGTCTGAGGGAATGGAGCTATGACTAATGGCTACTTTACATATAAATGAGAAGGTTTGTGCTAGGAACTGCTAAAAAAAATACAGTCTCTCTCACTCACCAAGGCCTGGCCTCTTCAGTATGAGGAAAGTACTGGGGCCTGGAGGAAGGAGGGACTAAATCTTGCCTGGCCTCGTTACAACCTGGCATGCTATTAATGAATGTTTGGAAACCAGGAGCTAAACCAGTCACCCCTTTGGCACTGCACTTCTGAAGATGTTCAACTAGCAATGGATGGTCTTGTTGCAGTAGATTCAGCCTTATCAGCCCAGAGGACAACAGAACTACCAAATTCTATTTCTACCCTACATAGATGTGACGGCAACCACCACTAAGAGGGTAGTCACAACCAACTGTAGCCAAACTTGCCAACTGAGTGGTTCAGATAATTCACAGACTGCAGGAATTCCTCTACTTGCAGGTGAGTAAGTCTAACTATGTTCATAAAGGAAATAATGGAGTGAGGATGGAGGGAATGTAGCAATGGAGAACAAAATATTGAGAGCCTGGACAGTGTCGTGTTAAAATAATGTTTGGTGTTGGTAGAGGAAACCTGTGTTAAAATCCCTGTTCAGCGGTGACCTTGGACCAGTCACTCTCACTTAACTAACACACCTCACAGATTTGTGGTGAGGATGAAGAAGGTAAAATGTATGCCACCCTGAGCTCATTTAGTAAGAAGAGGAACAAAATAGGAGGAGGAAAGGAAGATAATGATAGTTAGATAATTATTCCCTAATATGGTAGGGAAATTGTTTCGAATACTAGAGAGATATTCTGGGCATAGTGTGTGGACAAGCCTGTGTTTGAGGACTAGGCATTTGTAATTAACAGTTAGTTGCACTGGGGCCTACAATTAGTGTACTGATCAAAATGTCTCAACATCGTTCTTTGAGACCTTTCCAGTTGCCTTTGTGACCCATTTTGGACAGTAGATACAAATAGGATGTAAATTGAGCAGACTGACTCAAGCACCAGATAATCGGAGGCAGCAGCAGACTACAGGAACAGAGAAGCTGATCATGTGATGTTACCTGTGCCTTTTAAGCTAGCAAGCTGTCTTCCTGTACAGTGGAGTATACTGTTCGGTCACTGTCTTTGAAGCCTCAGCTGCCAATGCAAACAGCTTTTGGGATGGGAGAAGAGGCAGTTTTGTTCTTTATACAAGGCAGCAAAGCTGACCCTGACTAGATGAACAGGCACAGATTTTTAATTTCAGACTTAAAATAGAAAGTGAATGTTTATTTCATGGGGAGTCAGGTTGTAGTTTTGTGTTTGTAATATACCCACACATTAGCCCTTCTCATTAGTGCAACCCTACCTCCTTCCATAGTCTTGTGTTTGTTACAGACTGTCTAGACATTGCAGATGTGGGCAGATGTTAAGGCTGTAATTTATAACAATGGCCTCCAGAAGGCAACTCCAATTTGTTTCATGAATGCTTTCAGTTACAGATGCTAAGATCTCCTGTAAATACTCTTGACTTACATATTAAGTTATTATTCTGGGTTTGCTCAGCAGACAGTAGCTATCTATAAAAGGACTTCATCTATGTATTAGCCTCTGCTGGGACTTAGAACTCCCATAAAGTATTATGATTTTTCAAATTATGTATACACACACCTGAATTGTGAAATGTAGGTTGTAGCCTGCAGTTCTGTGTGCAGTAGCTTGGAAAAGTTTCAAAAGTAATAATAGTGAAAAATTACAACATAACATCTAAAAACAGAATTAAAAGCTAGAGCAGCAACACGAAGCATAAAAATAAAAGGAACAGCAAACAAAATAGGCAAAGATAGCATCAGAATTGAACATCATCGTAAAAAACAAAACCCTACAACTGAGTAAAAACTATAAACAGAATCAGCCATAAAAGGAATATATTTGCTACACAACACAAGGCAATTAAAGAAAGATCAAGGTTGAGCTTTCCTCAGGAAGGACTTCCAAAGTAATTTAGGTATAGATACCAAGAAAGCTGTTCCTATGGTTTCAACCAAATATACTCAAGGGCTGGATATGCAAGTAGTCGTTGCTTGGTTACTTGGTGGATGCTTAGTAGAGAAGGCATCCTCATTCTTAAACCATAAATGAATAGGTACTAATGTACTGTATACAAAAATGTGGGCTGAAAATATATTCCACTATGTTCTTTCCATTCAGTTGAAGGCAAGCCCCTTGATCAATATCTTCACAATGCCATCTACAGAAAGGAACAGCAGCTAGTTCAGTAATGACATGAAAAAGATATCCTTAGAATCTCACCCACAAAAAGATAAATAGCTGATGTTGCTGAAAGGGAATCAGGAAAGGAGTTGCAAACGAAGTGTTTATTTATTTGATTTATAAATAAAGTGTTGACTTAGGCATCCTTCAGTCTCAAAAGACTATGGTAACGTGCTCTGTATGGAGGACTTGGAAGAGCCTTAGCAGAAATAAAAGCGGCCTTGGATTCCCTTGCCTCTGGCAAGGCAACAGGAAGGGATAACATCCCTGTTGAAGTGCTGAAATGCTGTAAGGAGATCATCACCACCGAACTGTATGAAGTCTTTCGTCTCTGCTGGAGGGAAGGTGGAGTACCACAGGACATGAAGGATACAAACATCATCACATTGTACAAGAACAAAGGAGACAGGAGTGACTGCAATAACTACCGTGGCATCTCTCTTCTTAGTGTTGTAGGGAAGCTGCTTGCCCGTGTTGTGCTGAAGAGGCTCTAGGTGCTTGCAGACAGAGTCTATCCAGAATCACAGTGTGGATTTCGAGCTAATAGATCCACCACTGACATGATATTCTCCCTCAGACAGTTGCAGGAGAAATGCAGGGAACAACAACAGCCACTCTTTGTGGCCTTCATAGATGTCACAAAGGCCTTTGATTTGGTTAGCAGGGATAGCCTTTTTAAAATACTTCCCAACACTGGATGTCCACCTCGTCTCCTTAACATCATCAGATCCTTCCATGAGGGAATGAAAGGCACTGTAGTTTTTGATAGCTCAATATCAGATTCCTTTGACATTCAAAGCGGAGTGAAACAGGGCTGTGTCCTCGCACCAACACTTTTTGGGATCTTTTT